AAAAAAAATAAAATCAAACTAATTCACTGTTGACTATTGATTGATCTTGATATTTTTACCTGTTGTTCAATGTCACTCGATGCCAATTTTTTAAAATTGAAACATATATAGTCGGTATTGACTACTATGGGTGCGTCCGTATCAATTGCTGTACTCAGAGTTGATAGAGAAATATTTATTGGTTCGACTTTTGAATTGACTTTCGCCATACAATTAGGTATTGAATAGAGTTTGATCCATTCTGGTATATTGATATTGCACTCACAAATGACAAACCATTTTTTTTAATTCGATCCAAAATGGAGTTTCAAATGATCGAATGATCTGTTCAATATCAGGATAATTCAATTGATCATCTTGATAATCACTGAAATAAAATTGAAATTTCTTCAATCCAAGTAGATTTGTTTGAATAAATTTTTCCCAACGATGACCATCAAAGTAGTTTCCATTGCCAGTAAGTTTCAAATCAGTTAATGATGTCATAGACTGAAGTAGAAATTCAAGATCAGCAATATTCATATCCAATTTGTCTAATGATACTGAAGTTAATTGACGACAGTAAGCTGTCAAATTCGTTGGATGAATAGTTTTTATTGAATAACAATCGATAATAAGTGTTCTCAAACGAGGCAGATGACGAAGAATTCGCCTAATGGAATCGAAACTTATACACTTGTCAATTTTTAGTTCTTCAATCGTACATGGATCAGGCCATTCGATAGCTTCTATACGATTTGGTTCAATGTTAAGTGCGAGTTTGTGAAGACTAGTTCGTGTGAGTATTGATGTAAGAACAGTCGCTGTTACATGATCGTGTTGCTTTTTATGTTCCCCGATTTCAAGTGAAAATGAAACAAGTGACGATATGTTAATATGCTTTAAAACTGCTCTCAATCGACTTTCTTTAATTCCAATCAATGTTAGAGAATGAAGTCGGCTAAAATCTTTCACATGAAATTGTTTATCGAAGAATATAGTTTGATCGAATGTTGTAGTTTGTTGAGAGAGTGTTAATGATTTAACTCGTTGAGGATTAATTAAATGACAAATAAGTCGAAAGTCTGATTGTGAAGTGTTTGTAAAATCAAGAATGTAATTATCATAGTTGTTTATAATGTTTCGTAATCGACGACATATATTGCGAAATGATACTAGTATTGTTTTTGCATCAAGACAATCGCAAATATAATAGACAATTTCTACAGGTAATGTTGGAAGTGATGATTGTTGATTCATCGACATAGTTTTCAAAAATTATGCTTATAAAAACTATTTCTTCGTTTACTTTTATACTTAAGTGAAAAATAAATGCGTATCGTGTTGGCTTTTTCTTTCGTGCAAGCTAGTAATAAGGTGAAGAACGGAAGAAGCAGAAAAGAATGAAAATATTGTTATTCATCCTATGGTATTTTATGATAGAAAATAACAATTGTAATGCAAAATGATGCAGCCACATTCTATGTCAAATTCACACGTATATACGTCCATACTCTCAAAGTCATATGCTCTAAGATTTTACTTGTTATAAGAAAATAGAACGAAATAATACTTTGCCTTCAAAATTAGATTAGTCTAACACAACATGACATTATCAGATTGTTTTAATCGAGATACACGGTATTCAGTACAACAATGAATTTTCTAATTAAAGTCGATGTATCGTGAACCGATCAACATAAACTATTAAAAGGGTGGGTGAGTGTTCTCCTTATCCACATCCACACCCCCGCTAACTTTTATTTTGGATAGAGAAAACTAGTACCCATCTCTATGGAACATAGTAGATGAAAACAGTCTGCTGGCTTCCTCTCGCTCATCATTGAATTTCATGAAATAATTGTCCAATACAGCATACTCTTCACTCTTCTTCGTTCTGTCGATCAATCTGAGCAGATGGCGACTAATACCCCTCATTTCACTGCCGCCCCCGCTCTTATGATGAAAGACGTCGTTAACTCGATCAAAAGGATAAACTTTTTCGAACAGTCGAAACGATTTCTTGTAGTGTTCCAGTGCAAAGTCAAATTGTTTCATTGCTTCGTAAATTTTTCCCATAAGTCGATAGAGTCGAGCAGTTTTTACAGAGTCTTTCTCTTGCGGCAGTACTCTTGAGGGTGTGGGTGTGGGTGTGGACTGAAGGAGAATAAACATCCACACTCACACCCACACCCACACCCGTGTTGACATTAATACACATAAACTCGTTTAAGCTTCGTTTGCTTTCAGAATAAAAGACTAATAAAAAATGAATGATGCCTATTTGTACTATTGACGTGTTTTTTGATCGCATACAATGTAGAAAAAAAAACATAGAGAATAAAACAATACTAAAAACTAACTATTGACACATCATTCAGAGAGAAAGATTTATGAAAACAGTTG